ATAAATTGTTTACTAATCCAAAAGGGTAATTATTAAAAATGGCGTCAAAATATCAAAACCTTTTTTTTCTCATATTTTACTCCTCAAACAGGTCAATGCCCACATCGGTAGCTTCTACGGAGAGTAGGGTGAGGGGGGCGGGTTATAACTAAATGTGTCTGAATTAAATATAAATAAGCGCCACCCACTTTCTGGACCCTAAGAGTAAAAGTGATGTTTCTGAAAGAAAGTGGGCAACAAGATACTAAATAAAACAATAGGAAATCACTAGCAGTAATAACGGGAAAAAGGTAAAACTCTTAATATTGCATGTATGGCCCAAAAACAAAACAGGAAAATCAGTTGTCAATATATCAAATGAACTCATAGAAATATACCATTAAATCAAATAAAAGTATTTAAATCTTATACTCAAATAACATTCGTACTAATGAAAATAATTAAAATTAATAAAAAGTAATTTTACTACAAAAATGGTACAGCTCAAAAAGTATCAGCAGTACACCAGTGGTAACTTGAACAAAAGTGTCTAAACTCGAAATGGTTAAATCGATATCATAAATCTCAAAATGGTTATATAACAAACGCTATAAATTACTGAAACGGAAATACGTACTCGCGATACTTACTAGTAAGTTCACAGATCGAGCCGCAAGTAAAATTTAAAGAAGTTAATCTATAACTATCTTAAATACGTAAATGAAATAATTAAACTCAATAAATGACTAGTTAAACTGTTTGGCGGAAATAACTCAAAACAGTAAAATGAAATGGGTACATATCAGGACATTCCAGAATCCTGGTGTTCGGTGACTCAGATGGTTGCTTTTTGACTGCTTTTGAATGGCGGTCGGTGAGCTGGCTTCAATATCCTATAGTGGTTGGCCACAGAAAGTCTTCCGGATCAAATGAGCTAGGTGATAATGCTGATGGTTAGCTTAAAACCACATGGTGAACACGGTTGGGTGACGTAGGGACCTCATGGCAAGAAGAAACGGCAGCAACGGCAACGAAAAATAGATTCGAAAGTACAAAAGTAAAATAAAATTTATATGGAGATTAAATTCAAAATTAAATCCAAGTTAAATTAAATCAAATTAAATTAAATGGAATTAAATTAAATCCAATTTAAATTAAATCAATTTAAATTAAATGGCCTGAAAAAGAAGTTCAAAATTACCCCCAAGAAAAACTACAAAATGGCGTAAAACATACCTGAGATGTCATGTGGCCATTCATTAACTCTTTTCTCAAATTCTTACGGTTAAAATAATTAGAAATATCGGAAAAGCTTCACTTGAATAGTGCAAAACGGTAAAACTATTCACTAATAAATTATTTAACTGAATTTGCTAGAACTTATATCAGCACAAGGCTTGATTCAAAAAGCGTGTCTGTACACAAAGACGGATTGTTCTAGAAGAAAGAATCATGCATGAACACCGGACAAAAGGGCAGTAAAAAAACACAGCAAATCAATGTTGCCAATAAACCAAATAATCTACTCCCTAAGAGCAAAACATGATATACGTCAAATATAAAAAAAAACAATAAATCGAAAGTACTGAAAGTAAACGGAAATCGAAAGTACCACAGGAAAATACTATTACGCAACCAATATACAATGTAAACAATCAAAAAGTCACCATCATATATAAATGTCATATATAACTCTCAATCAAACCCTAATTCGGTAACTAATGCTAATATGCTCGATATTTACGTTGCCGCAGAATAAGAAATTTCAAAGTAACCTCAAATATTGTTCAGCTGCAAACACATCAAAACCAGGGGGGTGACTTTTAGAATTTTTTTAGATTTTTTTTTTCTAAAAATTCTAAGGGGGGTGACAGTGAAATAGGAAAATTGGAAACAGTCATTAGTGTCATTCCTGTCATTCTCCTCACGACAAGAATGGCCGCCTAGACAAGGACAGCATTGTTTTTGTCTAACTATTGTCCAACTTCACGGTTTAGAATTGACAGATTTCAGTTTCAGAGACAACTTCAGATTTGTTCTAGAACAAATTAGAAAATATTCGACGCCCTTTTAATTCATTCCGTTTAGTTTTGCTTTGGAAGTTCAATTTAATATTTCGGCTGAAATTTATAAATATAAAGGTAATAAAGTATATAAAATATATATTACATGAAGAATCCTGGAGAAAATAACGTTTCTGTAGTAGTAGGTATGTCCCATGTACATGAAAAATAGGTAGTAAATAAACACTGTTTTTACATTTTTTAGATGCATGAAAATGGTGTTATAATCTCTTTGATCGGCGATTTTTTTGAAAATGGAAACAATTTATAGCAAGGTAAGATCATTTTTAACTATATCCAACATTAGTTATCTCCAGTATGTGCGATTTATTGTCAATAATGCAATAAATCGGACTGATAATCTGATTATGTTATCCGACTAAAAGTCTCTTTTTACTTCTTTTTGCTTCTTTTTGATTTATAAGCCAGGTCTCTTTGGGAATAATGGACGCTTTTTTTAAACAGTATATTTATATTTTATACCTATTGATATTTTTACATTGTTAATTTTAGTATAAGAAATTTGTTCTTCTGTTTGCAGGTTTTTGTATAAGGCTCCCGTTTTCATGTTCCTGTGTCCGTTTTCAGTCCTCCGAAGTCTGCGAATACGTGTGTTTATTTACAAATTACTGTAAGTCATGCTTATACCTTAACTAATTTACGTTAAAAGTGCATATAATTAACTAATTGGTATTGAAACAATGCAACCCTCTATACTTTTATATTTATTTAGTCACGTTGTTCCATATTTCAAATAAATATATGTGAATAAATTATTTTTTGGTTTTATTTATGAAAAGAAAAAATACAAAATACATTTGAACTGAAAGAGGGCCCGCCATTGAATAACCGGAAACGGAAATGACAATTAAGCCATCATGTCCTTATCATGTCAACCTGTCAAATGGAAAATTAGTTCTCCAGACGACAACGAAGGCTTTCAGTGGCGTATCGTGTTTCCACGATTTAACACAGAGTTGACACTTCTTTCTAGTTAATTATTTTATGGTCAAAACACTACTCAAGCTAATTTCAATAAAATTACGATTTTGCAAGTCTTTAAGAGACTACATATCAGCCACACATCGTAAGTAATATATTTAGAAATACCTATTAATAATTACTAAACAGTTTATTTGCTTTTAGTTTATGATATTCAACAATTGAATGTGCTACACTGATATCAACACTTGTTCGATTCAAAATAGAGTGAAATCCATACTATAATAATGTGAAAAAATATATAATATATATATATATATATATATATATATATATATATATATATATATATATATATATATATATATATATATATATATATATATATATATATATATATATATATATATATATATATATATATATATATATATATATATATATATATATATATATATATATATATATAATACGGAGATCAAACGCAGGATCCATTTGGCATGGGTAGCATTTGGAAATATGACTGATATTTTCAAGGATAAAAAGGTACCCATCAACCTAAAGAAAAAGGCTTACGACAGCTGTATCCTACCTGTGCTTACGTACGGCTTAGAGACTATGGCAATTACCCGAAAAACAGAACTACTGCGAGTTGCACAAAGAGCCATGGAAAGAATCATGTTAGGAGTCACCATGAGGAAAAAAATGCGGAATACCCACATACGTCAAAAAACAAAACTAATAGATGTGGTTAAAAGAGTGGCAAGTCTGAAGTGGCAATGGATCGGACATGTGGCAAGGCAGGATCCAGACCGATGGCCTCAAAAAGTCATTCTATGGAGACCTAGGGGATCAACAAGAAGTGTGGGCCGACCAAAAAAGAGACGAATCGATGAAATCAGAACAGTGGCGGGAAGAGAATGGATAAGATTGTCTAGAGATCGTAAAGCATGGAAAAACCTAGAAGAGGCCTATATCCAACACTGGCTGGAACCAGGCTGAGAAAGAAGAAGAAGAAGAAGCATATAAGGCTAGGCTTGTAGTTAAGGGGTTTACCCAAAAATATGGGGTAAACTACTCAGAAACGTTTACGCCTCTGATCAGATTTACTAATTTAAGGTTGTTATTGGCAATGACAGTAGAATTAGATCTAGAAGCAGATCATTTAGACGTAAACATAATTTTCTGATTTTCGCTTTAGGAAAGCAACCAATTTCATATAATTACCCAAATCGACGTTGTGTTATATCTTCAGCGTACTTTTCAACATTGAGTATTTAGACCAGAGAGTCGGACGACTTATATTTCTTCGAAATTTCTTCAAAATAGACTAGCGCTACATTTTCAGAAAGGAATTAAATATTTTTGTTGTCTCTCCAAACTATAAACTTCTTATATGCAGCTTCATAACGTTCCCGAAAATTTTCAGGTAATAGACAACGATATAAATGCGGCTTGCTGCGTCAATTCGAAAGGATCGGTGGATTTAATTGTATACTCTATTGCCCGAAGATTAAGGGGAAAAATTAAGGGAAATCTTATATTTAAGTTGAATTACTTTTCAAAGAATATGACACTGACAAATGCGTTACGCCGCCAGAGACATAGATAAAAGAAAATAATCTTCTATTAAGAGCCAGAGACAATGTTGGCAATGTTGTTGTCTCTGGTTACGCGGCGACAATTTTAGATACCAATTATTAACAGGACTTTCATCTTTAAGGTAAGCGTGCTCAAAGATTGCACACTTCAAAATTTGCGCACGGTGTGTGAAAAACGTCACTTTCAGATTTACTTTGGCGTGCGTTTATTAATGTTATACAAAGCAGTCATAGAAAAAATCTATAGGTACATCATTTTAAGATTTGCATGTATTTCCTATGTTTAGGTCGGTATTTCTTAATATATATTAGTTACATTTTTTTTCCATTTCCAATGATTTATACAGAATAATTTAGAAAATATCAATTTTATAATATTGATAGAATATCCTAGTTAATGGCAATTTTGTTTTAGATACCAACAATTACCGAACCCATGTGGCAAGCTGCAAATTATTTGGCAAACAATTATGTTAAATTTGTTGAGCTTCCCCTGGAAATAACAAAATCTATAACAGTTGCAGTAGGAAATTATTCTGTGGTAATGTATAACAAAAATAAACGATCTAGGGTAAATCAAACTTGTGCAAATTTAAAACTTTCCTTGTGCTGAGATTTTTGTGTGTGTGATGTGATGAAAAATGCTCTATATGATAATTTTTTATAAATAATTTTAGGTGGTTAAAAAAGTTACGAATGCACTGAACAGTACAGTGGATTGGAATACCCTTTTAACAGATTTTGAAAAGTTGCTTCTGATAAAGGTTCTTCAGGAAGAAAAATTAATATTTTGTATAACTGAGTATGTGAAAGTTAACCTAGGACAACCATTCATAGAGAGTCCGCAAGTAACACTAAATCTTTTGTAAGAAATTTTATATTAAGTACATTTAAATTTATCGCTTTTCTAATTATCTAAGTCACTAACAAGAAATTTTTGATTTTTTTTTGTAGTCTTTAGCCGCGTACAGACTTGAGCGCGAATGTGTTGAGCAAGCAGGTTTATGTGTGCGCTCTCGCGGTAGGTGTGTTAATCTCATGCGAAGAAAAGCACTTACTAACGCATGCGTGCGCTCTCAGACCATTCATTCCCATATTTTATCTTTCTAGTTCTATCTTTACCTATCTAAGAATTACTTGTACATATGTACAGGGTGTCCCACTAAGAATAGCTTTCGAAAAGTATTAGTTGTAGAGCTTACGGAAAAATATATTTATAACCAAGAAAAATTACTGGAAATTATTTTCAAGTTTGTAGGACGGCCGCTAGAGGGCGAAACTGCTATGGAAAATAACAAAATGGAATTTTTAAGAAATTTTGCCTAAATACGATGTACTATAAATAATAGCTTCATAATCTTCAGTAAATTTTAGATCTTTTTTGTTAGAACCATTTCCCTCTCTGCTAAAATAAAGTGGTGGGGGGAGGTTAGATCTGTTTTTATTTAAATATTAGTAACTCCGGACTGGATGATTGGAATCCAACAGGCGAGGGCTCGTTTAAAGGAGCGTTTCTTACTCTATACCTGGTGTTGCATCGTCGGACGGCACATAGGAAATCCCATGTAAATTTTAATAGGGTCAATATAATTGACCCAATCAAAAACAATTTCCATTGATTGTAATTTTGATGGGCTTCCTTAATTATTTTAGAGAATAATTATATTTAGGTTTATTGAAGAGCACTAAAACCAACATTCAAAAGAATAACTTTAGATATTTTTGATTAGCTCGTTTACGAGTAATCGCCGATTTCTTTTTAAATATTTCTCCTTTCTTATGGTCCTGTATTTACTTATGACCACCAGTCAAGATAAAAGATAGCTGTCAAATGAAGTTGTCATTTCAGAAATTTACCTATTTAGTGCTTTATTATTATTGAAAACTCATTCCTAATTCAAAAATCTTAAAGATGTATTAATAAATACAAATTTATATAAATTAAAGTAAAATAAAGTAATAAATTACAAGGTTAATTATAGTATTATTACAATATTCAATAACTTATTAATTTAGGTATTATTAAATTGTTAGAACTTTAGGATTTAAGAAGATGTTCAAATATTCCTCCATCGACTGCTAAACAATAACCCAGGCGATCATAAAATTCTCTTCTTACATTCGCTAGTTGGTAAACTGAAACTATATTGCATTCGGCAGAAATTACATTTTTTAACTCGTCTAGATTTGGGTATTTTTTATCCTTGTATATCCTGTTTTTTAAATGGCCCCAGAGAAAGAAATTATTTGGCGGAATATCAGGAGACCTTTCTGACCAATTTACTGTATGATTTAGGCCAATAACGTTTCCGTTAAAACTATTGTCTAAATATTCCCGAACAGCCATGGTACTATGTGCCGGGCAGCCATCCATTTGGTACCAAACTTCCTGATTTTCCCTAGCGGCATCATGTAAAGCAAGTAAAATATGATTTTCTAGTAGTTACAAATAATATTCTGCATTTAAATTTCGCGTAAGAAATAATGGTCCGATAATATTGTGTCCGAATATTCCTACCCAAACATTTACTTTCTGCACAGCTTACAGAATAATACAGCTTGGACACTCGCCAATTTTTCCCACGCTCGAATTTAAAACGCCCCACTCCGACGATGCGCTAACTGAATTAAGCGACCGACAGTCAGCCTCATTCAGTCGATGCATAGCCTACACCGGTGGCGCGTAGAGCCGTATTACGGAAGATTTTAATTCGATTTTTTTTCTTATATTTAACCATAGGTATTTGTGCTTTTATTTCAATTTTATTTTTATTGATGGAATGGGAAAAGGTTTTCCGGGATGTGCGGCTGCTGGTTGCACAAATAATTATGGAAATAATTCAAAATATAGTCTGTTTAATTTTCAATTCAATTCAAAATTAATGTTCAATTCAAAAGTATATTCACACTTTAGAGCTTTTCAAAACGATGAAGACTACTTATTTGGAGGCTTGTTAATGCCAAGTGACCATTTTTTATTTAGTTTCCTCATTGGAGGCTATTTTTATATAAGCTTTTATTTAACTTGCTTTGTATGTAACTATCTATGTATGTATGTATGGTTGTTCGGGGCAAATCTTGTAAGCTAAATTAAAATCACTTCCTTTTATTGTAGGAGATTGAAATTTGGCATGTAGGTTCAGTCCCGATGACAATACATTTTTTTGCAGTTACTTATAGGGAAACAGAATGGCAACACTGCCTATTGAGCATTATTGATTTTTCTGCCGACTCGTCCCGTCGCGTCGTCTATCGACGAGCGGGCCGAGGTTAAAAAATATATAAAAAAAATATATGGGCGGCCATCTTGAAAAAATGACAGTTTAATGACATGTCAAAATTTCAAAGTCAACCGATTTTCATAAAAATTGATATATAGGATGGCCATGGGCTAAAATGAAAGAAAAAAAAATTTGAGCTGTCAAATTTGACGGCTGTCAAAAATTTCAAAGTTTTCCGATTTTGATAAAAATTATATATAGGACGGCCATGGGCGAAAATGAAAAAAATGTTGAGCTGTCAAATTTGACGGTTGTCCAAAAAAATTTCAAAGTTGTCCGATTTTGATAAAAATCGATGATGGCCGTGGGCTAAAATGAAAGAAAAAATTTGAGCTGTCAAATGTGACAGCTGTCAAATAATTTCAAATTTGTCCGATTGTGATAAAAATCGATATATTGGATACCCCTACCCCATAGTCGGTTTTCATTTTATTTGTCTCACATTTGAACTGTCAAATTTGACAGCTGTCGTTTTTTAAGTTCTCCTTTTTTTAATGAAAATCGATATACATATTATTAGGATACCCATAGAAAGTTATTTAAGAAAAAAAAATTGAGTTTAAGTGTGTGGCACTGAGAAACAAGCATAACTAAAAAGTAGATGATAAATTTTATAAAAAAACCTTTTTTAAAAACAAGCTTTTATTTAAATACACTAAAAAGAATAAAATAAACTCTTTTTCTTTAAAACTTTTATTATAAACTTAGAACGTCATTACACAATTTTAATATTAGATATATAAAAGCTTGTCGCGAGATTTCTCTACATCGATAAACAAGTAAATTAACTAAAACCTGTGTCTACCCTGTCTCATTCTCAAAGTTTCTGTTATGATAGACCACTAGACCAGGAATTACAAGATAAAGTTGTCGTACCAGATTTTTATGAGTGCAAATGTACACTCAAATCTCGCGACAAGCTTTTATATAATATTAAAATTGTGTAATGACGTTATAAGTTCATAATAAAAGTTCTAAAGAAAAAGTTTATTTTATTCTTTTTAGTGTATTTAAATAAAAACTTGTTTTTAAAAAAGTTTTTTTATAAAATTTTTCAGAACAATTTTGAAGAACTTTTCTTAAATGAAAATATATTATGTAAATTCGTTAAATTATTTCAGACAATTAAATTCAACCATCAATCAAAATTTTCCTATAATGTATTTTTTGTTAAATTTATACGCAAAAGTTAGAAATTATTATACCTTAAAGAATATTACTAAGAACTTAAATGTAGCAAACAAAAACCGAAAGCTCCTAATTTAGAAACATTCGTAAATAACTATAAGTAATCAATGTACTTATTTCATTTTGCTGTTATTTCTAGAAATAAATTAATTAATTTGTTTTTTAAATGTTTTTCTTTGAGAATGCATATTTATTTAAAGTCAACAATTTAAAAAACGTGTATCTAAATTATGTTCTAGCACAGTCGAATAATTTTTTACGTCACGTGTAAAATTTTTTGAATACATCTCTGGGCTGACTGGCGCTTACGCGGCTCTTGGTTTTGGCGAGAGAGCTCGCCGCTCCAGTGTTCCCCCTCTTTCGAATCGCAAATCCGAGCGTAAAAAGATCAAAGCGGCACGCTACACTGTCCGAGCTGGTTTTTACTTAAGCTGTGCTTTCTGTGGATATTGCGTCCTTGTTTCGACAAACCTGTGTTGCTTTTCTTTGTTCCAATATCGATAACTTTGAACATTGGGTTCATTATTTAAAATAAACGTGCATTCGTCAGTGAAACATATGTTTTTTAAAAATTCCCTACCTCTGTTTGCTCTTTCTTTTGGTGCTTTTCATATTTGAAGGAATAGTATTTATGTCGTTTCAAAATTCGAAACGCTGTAGTGTGATCTATGCCTATTTCATCCTCAAGTTTCCTTGTGTTGATCTTTCCATCGTTCTCTTCCACGCACAATAAAACTTCCAAGTCGGTATCATTTCTTGCATCCTCTCTTTGTTCCTGCCTTGCTTCATATCTGCAGTTATTTATTAGGGTACCTTTGGTCTCAAATCTCTGGATATTTCTTGCGATTGTAGTTTTCCAGGTATCGGTCTATTCGGATACAGAGCAGCAAACATGTCCGACACCTTTTGATAACTATTTCCTTGATAATACCATTTGAGGAGCAGACTTTCTAACCGAATTTTGTCCATATTTTCAAAAATTCAACTATAGATGGCATTGTTAACTTCATATTTCTTAAAAATAACCAGAGACGGCCTAAACGTACTATATGCCGTTACAATTCAACACAGAAAAACACATAGACAAACGAATCGTATTATTGAGGACAAAGTATGTTATGCTTGTCCATGTACAGTTTTAATTTGAACTTCGAGGTGTTATCACGAATATTTATTTTGTTTGAGATATTGTGTAATTAACAAGCTTATAATAGCGTGGCTTTGTCAAAAATAGCAAAATGAGTGAGGGAGAGCATGTTTTGGGTGATTTAGACAGAGGAACAAGAAAGAGGAAAAGGAATGTAATAGTAAAACGGAGCTATTGTAAATATTAAATTACATTTTTTTCCTTTTTTACGAGAGAAGAACTCATTTTTTAACGGAGAATTCTTACAAA